AGTGAAATTGAGAATCAGGACTCTGCAGATGTTTTGTTATGCGCAGAAGGGGGGATTAAATGTGCATGCGTAAAGACTATGAGTAAAGCGTTGTTGGTGATTTTGAGGTCCGGATTTTAGATCATTCTGGATAATGGACGTCCGGATTTTGGATTTTGTACTGTACATCATAATAGGGTTTTCAGAGCTTTCCAACTAATCGGGTAACCATAAATGAAACAGCAACTTGGCTATAATTGAAACAACTTAGCAATAATTTAAGGGGCACCCTTAAATCTACTGTAATCTTATTTTTTCATTTTATTTTTTATTTGTATGTATGTATAATTTATATAAAGGTTTTTCTAGTCATTTATTTGTTGACTCTTATTTTTATATTGGAAGGCTGTTATTGTGTTTATTTCTCTATAATCTAAATATTATAGATATGTTTAATTTAATGTAATTTATGCAATTATTAACTTCAGAAATCAAATTAGATTAGCAGGAAACATTTTTTATTACCTGCATCTTCCAGCTTTTGTGCCAAGAAAAACTTGCAGAACTCTTCCTAAATTCCATCATAGAGGTCTTTAAACCATTTTGAACATCATCATAAATTAAAAATGTATTCATTAGAGCATCTTTTCCAAAAACTTTGAATCATTTTCTGAACAAGTTTCCAGCATTGTAAAATGGGAACTTTTTGATCGTGTAAACTTTCTTCAAGTAAGGCAGGTAAGAAATGGCCTGCCATAAGTGCAGAAAATTCTAATGGATCTTCAGACATTGGACACGAAGGCTGCGAATTTAAGCAAGCTTCAATTTGAACTCTCAATGTTGTAAGTTCTTCTTGCGTCAGAAGTTGCTCACTTATGATTTGTATGAGATGTTTGTATATTTGACTGCAGCTTCCCATGATCCTCCAAAATGAGACGGTGCAGGTAGATTAAATATCCACTTAATACCTTCAGTTGAGCAATATTTATTAACCAATTCATTTTCCTTCGAAGAATTTACTACTTTTTTCAGTTCCTTATGTGCAGCAGTAAAATTTGTGCCACAATCTCTGTGCACTTCTATCGGTTTTCCTCTTTGACGATACAAAGTGCTTCAAAGTGGCAATGAATGATTCTGATTATAGATTGCTTACTAATTCAATATGTACAGCTCTTGTAGTAAAATGCACAAACACCCAAATTTAGCATTAGATTGGTTTTACCCTTCGACCTTGTCTGGGCTTGACTTGAAAGGGCCTGCATAATTGATTCCAACCTTGGAGAAAACCTTCGACAGAATGGCTCCAGACAATGTTAAGTCAGGCATTATTAGCACGTACATGATGACATTTCACACATTTCCAAATCTGTTGTCTTATAACTGGCCTAGCGTGGATTATCCAATATTCTCTTTTAATCACTGAAAACAATAGCTAGAGATCAGCATGAAGATGGGATTCATGAAAATAATTTACTAAAATCTGTGTTATGGGATGGTTCTTGGGCAACAAAATAGAATATTTTCTGTTTTGCACGATGTTGGCTTGTCTTAATCTTCCTCTGACACATATAAATCCATTCTTATCAATAAAGATTATCAAAGTATCTTACGATTTAAGTTTAACGATTAATTCTCCTTCAGAAGATTATATTCATTAAAAAACTAATCTTTTTGAGCTACTCTAACAATTGCATTTCTAGCACATTGCAATTCTTCGGTTTTAAGATAACCTTTAATCCTTGCTACTGTAGACTTAGCTGAATTATTTGCAAAACGAAAACACCATGTGATGATTCTCTTAAGTTTCAAGAATGATGAAACTTCATTAAGTACTGGAATTTGCAAAGCAACTGTTCCAGTTGAACAAGAAACCTTTTTGCATTGTTCTTTTAAGGACTCTTCTGAAAATGGTTAGTTGATAGAGATTGGAATATTATTTGAACTGAGCCGCTGAGGTCCTGTCCACCATGAGTAGAAAGTTCTGACAAACTACTACTAAAGACAAAAGACCTCTTGATGCACAATCAGCAGGATTCTCTTTTCTGTTGTAAAATATTTTTGTAGCATCGAAATTTCACAACAAATTAATAAAAGTACAGAGCAAAATGATTCCTCTTACCTTGTATCCAGTGCAGCATCAGCAAGATCAGCTAATTAACTTAATCCAAAAAAAGGTGTAGACGGAAATTGATCATAAACATATTTAATTGATACATACAAATAGATTAAGAATCCTTAGTATTCAAATGCATATCGAAAAGAGAGTTATATACACTAATAGAGAGCATCATTATCACTGTCCTTTCCTGAAGCAGTGAGAAAAGTAAGAGTCGGGTAGAAAGTGAGTTACACAATTAACTCCTGTGCGGGGTGTCCAGATTACACTGCTTATCGTGCTATTGACAATAGTCCGTCACTATTTGCATACCAACACCCCTACTTGGTAGTGATTCTCAGTGTTTCTCGAACACAGTCTTGCCCAGTGGTTTGGTGAGTAGATCCACAATCATGTCGGAACTTCTGCAGTAGTTTAGACTCAAGATATTGTTTTGTTGAAGTTGTCAAAAGTAGTGGTATTTGATGTCTATATGTTTTGTTCTGGAGCTATTTTTCCCCATCTGTGAAAGTTTAATGCATAATTTGTTATCTCCATAGAGAGTAATCAGCAGATTTTGTTTTAGTCCTAGATCTTTAAGTAAATTTAACAACCATTGTGCTTCTTGTGCTGTATTAGCTGGTGAAATATGTTCTGCTTCAGTTGAAGATAGTGCAATGCAGTTTTGCCTTTTGCTGCTCCATGAAATGCAGTTATTTCCTAGTTTGAATATGTATCCTCTAATGGATTTTCTTGTTGTTCTGTTATTCGCTCAATCTGCATCTGAATATGCAGTTTGTATAGGTTCTTGAATTTTGTAAAGACCAACTTAAAGTCTATAGTTGTATATAAGTATCGAATGACTTTCTTGATAGCATTCCAATCTTCGTTCTGAGGTTTCTCGTTCCTTCTACTCAGTAGATTGACAGCGCATGCTGTATCTGGTTTGCTGATTGTTGCAATATATAATAATGCTCCTGCTTGTCTATATTCTGTATTATCCTCTAGAAGATCATCTTCAGTTTCTAGTTTGCAGTAGTTTATTTTCATTTGCGTATATGTTGGTTTTTCATTTTGAGGTCCAAATTTTTGAATCATTTCTTCGATTTTATTCTTTTGATTTATGGCAAAGGTTCCATCTTAATCTTTCGATATTTTTGCCGAGGTAGTATGTGACTTCTCCTATATTTTTACTTCCTTGTACGAAGTAAAAAGGAAGTATTGTAATCGCGAAAAGTTTCAGGCAGCATATTTCAACGAAAATATCCATTTTGACTGCTATCGAATGCAATTTAACGATGTTTTTGCATCATATCTGTACGTAAGGACAGAATAAAAGACTCGCTTCCTTTAAAAAAATTATAAAACTGCTTTAAAATTAATTCTGAAGAGAATTTTTTGTGGCGTCTGTACGAATGTACGTACGTATGTACGTATCTTGCATATCTCAAAAACGAGTAGCCTCAGAACATTGAAATTTTGTATATAGGACAAATATGTAGATGTGCACCTCGTATTTTGGTTGCAATCGGCCGCACCAAACATATATAAATATATTTATATATATATATCCACTCTATTACCCGGCTCAGTGATCTCAGTTTCTTTACTCTTATATGTTTGTAAATTGTACATTTTTTTTCTTTAAAAATGATTGAATTATGTTGTTTTTATCTTCCGGTTAAGGATTTTATGCCTTTAGTAAATCTGTGTGCAATATTTTTAGAATTATCAGCAATTTTAAAGTTGTTTAATTGCCGCTAATCTGAGCCTGTTTTTAATGGCGGCTATTGATGTTTACATTTGAAACAGGAAACTAGTGGATTTGTTGCCAATCTAGAGAAACTTAGCTTCGCAACAACAAAGATAACGCATTCATTTATTATTGCCAATTAAATCATGCTTAATTCTTTCTGGAATTTTTTCGAGGAAATAAGCATTTGAGATTTACTTCGTAATTTTTAATATAGATATTTTGAGTTTTTTATGTATTTTTGCCTTCTCGCGAAGTGAGAACTGAATTAATTAAATGAGAAATACTCAATCGTCTGTGAAAAATTGTTTTGTTTTGTTTGCTTAATTTCTTTTATACATAGTTCTAGCTTTATTATAGTATTTGAATAGAACATGTGGCAACGATTAGATAATTCTTTAAATGATATACATTTTGTGCATTCTGAGTTATAATATGAATGAAATATAATACTGTTAAGTAAACCTAGCACCAGAGTGTCTCTATGGTAAACAAAGTGAATTTTAAAGAATGCATTTATTCTATTGTGGTTTATGCGCTGTCGGCGAAGTAGGTTTAATTCAATCTAATAAGTTTAAATAAAATGCAAGAAAAAATGCGTATAATTTAATATTCCGTACAAGGAAGTCATATGGTGTACACATCAGATTTTTTATTTCCAATTTAGAGTTTAGCTGTTGAATTGTTTTCATTACATCCCCATCTCTTTCACTTCCTATAAGCATATCATCTACACATATTATATATGTGAATTTTCCATTAATGGTTTTGAAAAACAAGCATGGGTCTGCTTTACAATTTTCAGATTCCAAGCTCTAGCGGCTTATTTTAAACAATATATAGATTTCTTCAGCTTGCAAACTTATAGATCATTCTGGATTATGGGTGTCCGGATTAACGACTTTTGACTGTATAAGCTTTCTTAATATTTTATTGTTTTGTACAGTTAACATATTTATGATCACTGTTTAATGCTTATGCACTTGCGTAAGTTGTATTTATACCTTGTAGTTCTGAAAATTACTTGCAGTATGTGTGGATAAATTTATATTTTATTGGTCTTTATTAAATTATATATCCCTTACTATAAGAATTATGATGTATAATCTTTCTTGCTTCTCAACTGTTTTTATGTTTCATTTGTATAATAATGAACCGTATCTCTAAATTCAGATGCCTCATGAGTCAACTGTTGAACACGAAGAAAAATCTTTCTTTTCTAATAGTGAAGTTGATGAGTTAGAAGAGGATTTATCTCAAGAACCCATTAGAAGACGATCTAGGCTTGAGAATAGTGAAAGTTCTGTTCCGCATTTATATGCTGAAACTCCAAATGTTGTTACTCATCATCATGATACTGATGATGATGAGGATACAGATAAATCTGCTGAAAATTAATGCTTTTGTTATAGTAAACCATTTTTGAAGCATTTATAGATGACTACATCTTTTTTTTTATTCCTTTGCTTTTTTTATATTTAAAGTAAGCTTACTGGCAACCTGATCATTAACTTTCCTTTATTTAACATTAGTTGTCCTTTATTTAACATTAGTTGTTTCATTTTGAAAAAAATTATTCAGGGTTAAATATTACTTTTCATTAATTATCTTCATTATGTATTCATTTGGACATTGAATTATGTGTATTTAATATTCTGAGTGCTGCCAATTGATATTTGAACAATAATGCATTTTTTTTTTTTTAGTGTTTTAGATGCTTATCACATTTTTAGATGAAATAGTCAAAATTTTACTACTTTTGGTTAATGTTGCTTTTGTGATAAGTTTTTGCTTTTAATGTTATTATTTATTATTTTCTCAATAGAATATTAATTTTGAAGTAGTTCCGATTTTTTAAAATGTAAGTTTTGCCAGTTTTTTTTAGTAACGTGTTAAACGAAAATTACTCGTATAAGACCATTAACTTGCAGTTAAAAGGAATGCTTTTATCTACTAAAGCAATTGTATTTAATTTCTGAATAAATTCGTATACTACTCATCATCATGATACTGATGATAAGTAGGATACATACAAATCTGAAAATTATAAGAATTTTTTAATAACAAAACATTTTTGCAGTTTTTGTAGTTAACTATACCTTTTTGTGAATATCTTGCTATGTTTTGTATTTATAAATATGTTTGCTGGTAATTTGAATTATATTTGACAGTGAAATTAGTTGTTTCTCTTTTACATTGAAAGAATTATTCAGGGTTAAATATTGTTGCTCATTAGTTATCTTTATTTTCTCTTCATCTAGATATTGAATTATGTATGTGTAATAAATAATTCAGTATCCAAATTATGTTATACTCTTAAGAAGTAGTGTTTGCCAGAGAAATAATAGTTTTCTGTTTGATGCTTATCACATTTTTTGATAAAATACTAAAAATTTTATTTTTGTTATGTTGCTTTTGTAGTGAGTTTTTGCCTTTTTTTAAAAAATTATCACAATATTTGAATATCATTCTTGAAGTAATATCAATTTTTTAAATGCAAATTCATGTATTTATCTGTAACACATTGTCAATTACTAAAACATGAACATTCAGTTGTAATTAAGAATTCTTTAATGCTATGAATGCAATTTAATTTTTAAGTAAATTGATATACTTGGTATTTTAAGGTCATATTTTCTTTAATTTTATATTAAATTTTTTAAAGTTTGTTTCGCACATATCATACATAGTTCAGTTAGTTGCTAACTATGCATTAAATTAATAAATTCTAAATTGTAAATTTAATAAATTCTACCTTCTGAATCTCTTGGACTTCTTTTTTTGAGCATTGAAGAAATGTTTATGAAGAAATAACATTCATAGTTTCCCGTTAGAGTATTTATTCAAAAGAGAAAATACTTAATGTTGGTACTTAAACCCTCAGAGTTACTGTGGTTTATGCAAAACTTCTAGTTATAAACATTTTTTGTATATCAAATGTTTTAGTATTAAAAACTTCTTCTGCATTGATGTGGGTTTTTTTAATATAAAACAAGTTTTTATATAACCTTTAGTTTTTCAGATTTTAAGATAGTAAATGCTCATTTTGCTTAAGCCATTTGTTAGAGCAAAACACCCTAGTGCTGTTTGTTCTGGGACTGAAACTTCATGGAGAGAGGCTAGCATCTAAAGACTGCTGGACACTAATAATATGAATCTCAGATGACAGTTTGGCTGCATGGATATTTTCATGGTTTTCATTATGTAATTACACTTCTGCTAAAAAATTAAGCTACAAAGGCAAAACATGGAATAAAAGGCTATTTAATGGATATGCGTGAAATTGATCCAAGATTGGTGTGGCATTAGTAGACTACATAGCAAACAATAAAGCAAAGATTTAAAAAAAATATGCATTAGGTCCATCACATCACAAAAGACTAAATGTGTAATAGAAATATCCCACTAAGAACAGGTATGATACCTTCTAACTGAAATGCATGCTTGACAACAGCAAAGCAAGCTGGCAATGGTGTCGGGAATTGCTTGTTGTTGCAGTTGCGCCCATTCCTGTAGTAATGTGATTCAGAGCTCATGAAGGGTGCTTTGTGGTGTTTTGCAACTTGCTATTCATCATCCCGCACATTCCCTATGGGATTCAGTCCAGTAATTTATCAGGGCCATGGCAGATATGGAATGACTTTTCTCTCCAGATAATTCTGTGCTACTTGAACTCAGGTGGGCAGATGTTATCATCCATAAATATTGTGTTGGTACCCATTGCAGTGATTAAAAAATGCACAAGAAGGTTTAGCACTTTCCTAATATCAGAGAGCTATGTTGAAACTACTAGGAATCATGTAGATGTCAATGCATCCGTTTGTTGCTATCCGAGTCCATACAAGTATGTTCTCCTATGTAATGGTCTCTCAACAATGTTTGCAACCCAGAAGCATGTCCTTAGCTTTTGCCATATCATTCCCCCCTTTGGGAATTGTTCTGGTTATTAAATCGAGACTCATCCATAAAGGGTGCGTGACCCCACTGCTCTGGTGTTTAACTGTGATGTTCACAGGCCCAATTTAACCGTGCTCTGAAATGAAATGGGGACAAAGGATCACAAACCGCAGGTTATCAGGGGTACAGTCTACCTTAATGCAGTCAACATGACACAGCTTGGCAGCATGTGGGCCCATCCTGCAGCAGCAGAGATGTGATGCCAGTTGTTGTGCTATTAGTGATCTACGGCATCTTGCATATAGCAACAGGAAGCAAAAAGTGATGCCTAATTTTTACAACTACTCAGAATAGGACAGGAAGAAATGAACGGGATACCTGAATTTCACCAGTGATTTTTTAAGTATAATCCCAACACACTGTATAGGTCTGTCCATATGAAAAGATGGACACCATCACTCTGATATGATGTGTGCGGAAAGAGTTAATAATAAAGTGAAAAACCTGCTTTATATTAGCAACACGTTGGCAGACAAAAAGCAAAGGGCTACAGTTTCCTCCAGACAGCATGGTACTGGTAAAGCAGGCTACTTTTTCATATCATATTCATGTAGATTGCTTCAAATCGAGAGTTTGTATTTACACATGTAATCAAAATGGTGAACAAATTTCTAATACACAAAATTTGCAAAAAAATTTCATCTTTATTTTTTGTTGTCATCTAAGAATTGATAAATCTTTTGGTGGAATACAGTTTGTTTTTGGAATTATCTACTCAAGAGAAATAATAAAAATAATTGTGTATTTCTTTTAGGTATGGCTCAGATAGAAAAAAACATTTGGGGAAAATTCGAAAAATATCTATATGAAAAAATGCATGTACTGTTATAAATTATTTCTGTATTTTCTATAAGAAGTATCTTTCTTTACAGAGTGAATAATCATTTGATATAATCGAGAGCATCTACAAAGCATGAAATTTTTTTCATCCAGCATCTGAATTACTGCTTGTACCATTGTTTCCTTGCAATGAAACAAATGGCAAAAATATTTTAAGGACTATCAAATTAAAATCGCATCTTTATTTTAATGCAAGATCACCTATGTTATTTCACTAAGCCATGCAACTTGACTTGGATACAGCACCTTTTTAGCATACATATTTACAGTAGTTAAATCTTAAACAGCTGCTTTGAATTACAAAATTATTAAACTTTACAAACATGATTGAAAAATTAAAGGAAATTCAAAATTTTCCGTAGCATTCTTCTACGCTGAATAAAATTCAGATTTATAAATTCATATCTCGTCATTGAAAAGCTTTTTAACCCTTTGATGGTCATCAACAAGCTTAACTCCCCTTCCCGTTACGCATATCAGTGGGCACAAACGAACCAGCTCACATTACAAAATTTACGACTGACAGTTATTTCAGAAGAAAGAATTGCTTAATATCTCAACTACTGAAGCATTAAAAGACACTTTATGATGAATTTTGACTTATCTTGAATGTTGTTATTTATGTACTTTGATAAAATTTAATTTTTGGTGCATCTGGAATTGAGTTATTCTGCTGTTTCGAGGAGAATAGTTTAAATATAAAAGGTTTCACTCTCTATTTTCCTGTATTTATACATTTCCTGTTCTTGCCATTAAAGTTTTTCATAGGCTTATTCCTTTGTGCTTACTAAGGATAAACTTAGGGTTAATCATGTTTTGAATAGTGAACGATTAATTTCAAAGATTCCATTTGATAATGATCTTATAAGTGATCAAAGTTTAGTGGATTTACCAGTATTTTTTTAATTTTATGTACTTTCTCACAAAAAAAAAAAGAAAAGAAAAGAAAAGAAATAAAAATTATTAACTAATGATAAATTTTGAAAGTAATATCCATGCTGATCTTTGTAAAAACATTAAACAGAGATTTCAGTTAAAGACTATTTGCCATGAAAACTTTGAAAGATATGAAATTAAAAAGAAAAGTTAGTAATAGTGTAATTGTTCTTGCAGCTTTAACATCAGTGACATGATCAAAATATGACTTGGTAAGATGAAGTGGGATCTTACCTATTATGTTAGCTATTGAGAGTACCTCCTGCAATATATTCTTTATATCTGAACTCTTTCCTGAGTACTCATTCAACTGTTTTCCAATTTATTTATGTTTCTTTTAATGACAGTCTTTTTTTTATTCACTGCTATTAGCATTTTTCATTGCATCTCATGGCTGAAGGGACATCCAGAAATTTTATAGACCAAAGTTAAATGTGAGGGTTCCCTTTGTAAAGACATCATCCAAGAGTGAGCGATCTTCTTATAAGTAGGTTTGCCAAGTCTCATCGTCTGTTAATGGAGATATGAAAGGGTAAGGAATATTGTCAGAGGATTGCTTTGCATTCATATGTCAGTGGAGAAACTGAGTCTAATTAATGATAGTCATATCACAAGTGCACAGTAATCCTTCAAACAGGATGCAAAAAGAAAAATTTTTTACGTCTGTGTTTATAATGTGTATGTATATACACATGCAGGCTTCATAAAAAAAAATTTTACTGTAATATTTTTAAGAAAAGTGGAAAAGACATACGGTGAAGGGTTAAAAGGAATTTAGAGATGTTTATAAGACATGTACGGTACATGTGTTGTTACTTTTAACCACTTTTCATTTAGTTGCTCCAAAGTTTTATGCCTTTTGAGATTTTCTCTTTTATTAATTGAGGCAGTATGAAAGTACCCTGACTAAGTGCTGTTTTGACCCTACTCTCTTCTTTACATTTCAATTCTTCCCATTTTCTTGTTTTTTTTTTTTTTTATCCTTTCCTTTTCTCCCCCCCCCCAGATGTGACATGCCCTCGTGATGTACTGCTCTCATGTCGTCAAGCAACTTGTGATATTGAACCTGTGTTCTTACTCGATAAAGATATTAGTTACCCAAATTCTATTGGGGGATTGTGCACTGATATTTTTCACAGTTAACTCATTTTATTTCCAAAATGGTTTCCTTTATACAAACATCTTAAATCAGGAGTCAGCAACTTGTGGTTCGCGGGTTAATTTTGTTTGTTATATGAAAATTTTAAAAATTGCCCTCTAACGCAACAGCTTATTGTGGGTCTGAGAAGTTGTTAGTAATGATCGCGCAAGTGCTACTTACATTGCATATCGTGGTATTTGTCAAATGTGATCTTTTGCTTTTTTTATTTTATTTATTACCTACCATTGCCATGTCATTTTCGAGACCAGATAAGAGGGGGGGAATGAACTTCCAGTGTCGTCATTTTAAAGCAGAATACAGTGTGAAATATTTTATGACAGAATTAAATTACAAAATATACTGTTTTTTTATGTAATGATTTAATCCTCTGCGATTTCCATTGGATACGAAATAAGGGTCGCTTGAAAATAGCCTAAGTTTATTTCTCTTATTTTTAATGTGGATCCCGCTTTTTCTCCATATAGGCTAAGAATATTGTAATATTCATATTTTACATTTCGCTTTGCACCTAGATGGCACTACAGGTTTACAGCATTGTAAGGGAGTACTATTTTTATATTTTTATTCCATGCGCCCTAAAATCGCGTGAGCCATATTGTATGTTTTTAAAAATTATTAAAATTTCTGCATTACTCTAATTTTGTTTATAAAGATGTGAATAGTAATATATATTTTAAAAAAGCCCCGTATTTCAGAACCATTCTTTGCATTTTTATTCCATGCACACTAAAATCACCTGAGCCATATTGTATGTTTTTTAAAATTTAAAAAACTTAAAATTTCTCCATTACTCTAATTTTGTTTAATTAAAAAAAACCTAAAATTTCTGCATTACTCTAATTTTGTTTTTAAAGTTGTGAATAGTAATATATGGAGATAGAGAACATATATATAATATATTTCAGAACCAGAATGTGTCCAAATCGTGATGAATACGGCAGAGGATTAGTAGCTGTGCAGAATGAGCATGATATATCTTGTTACCAAACTTGCATACAAGATTACCCTCAATAAGAACATACTAGAATACTGGTTAAACATAACTAAACTACTTTATTTTACTAATATGAAATAA